TCGATTTGGTGATCAATTTCATCGTAGCACTCGACGCTGCTCAACTGCTGCACCTAGACTGTAAGCATTACGGTGCTAGACTTCTTCTGTTATGGCAACCAGTCATGAGCCTGGTGTATCAGCAACACTGTTCAGTGGCGGAATATTTTGGATCTAACTTACGCTCGATGCCGCCGGCCTTGTTTGCGAATATCCCTGACGAGTTGGCTTCGTGAATTGATTGACCTAATGCATACAACTGTGGCGAAGTTAAGCAAAGAGCACGTGTTATGTGATATTGTACACCTAAGCAATGCTTTGCGCTTTTAGCCGGCGTCGAGAAATGTTCTAACGTCAAACATCAAGCGTCGCGTCGTGCAGTTCTTTCGCATTGCACCCTGGTGGCTGTCTACATCACTAGTAGTGCTTACATTAGAGATAGGTGGCGCAGCTGCACGGTAAGCTTCCTTTGTTGCACTCGTGAATCCCGATACGGAGGCGAACGGGGGAACGCGTGGTGAAACAGCAAGAGCGCCAAAAGGACGTCTGCAAATTCGAAAAATTTGGAACGGAGACGATTGCTTCCGTTTCCAGTTTAAACCGTAACCCTGTGATATCGTCTTTCCTTTCAATCCGCTATTATTCGGAGCACCCCTGGTTTGTTTCAGGATTCTGTCAGTTTCTGGAGACAGTATCAGTCATAGCATATAGACGTTGCCCGTCACAGTAAGCATAGCCTTCCGCAGTCTGCTGCGGTCATACCGGTAGGGGAACTCGTGGTATCGCTGATCTGATATTGCATCACCGTTTGCGGGGCAAGCAACAATACTCGACTAGGCCGATTGCAGCAGCATTAAACTTCGTCGCAAAGACTATTTCCGGACGAAGAAAATGGGATCCCATCAGCGATGTTCTATGAGACTTACGTGGCTTTCAGCAAAGAATGCGCACTTGTACCACGGCCTCGCGCTTCCCAGGCATTTTGACGACATCCGAGCCCGAGAGCTCGTGGCCCTGTTACCAGATATGGCGTTCACCATCGCACAACTAGACATTGTGACATCGACATGGACATAGACATCGCACATCTAGACTCCCCCGATACACCCCGAGTCTGGAAGGCGGAAGTTTTATTGCTCGATCGTGACTGCGTTTAATTAGTTATCGGCAGCTATCCGTGCAATGGACCCCGCGCGTTTCAAGATCGAGAGCAGAAACCGCGTGATACAAGGACATCTAGGTACCGATTGGCGACTACTCGGCTTTTATTACCATGTATGACCATGTGTATGCTTTTTGTTTCTCGCGGGCGCTATCCACTGGACCCACCGTGCCATGTATTGTCTTGACACGAAGCTCAGAACAGGCATACCGTGTGACACTGTCTCACGATGTGCACAAATACAAATACAAGATACAGATCACGCCTTGATGGCAGCAACATCCAAGGGTCAAAGTCAGGTCAGGTCAAGGTTGTGCCAAGACAAGGTCAGGTTACCCAATAGGCCGTTATTGGTATTAACTTGCGGTTTGCATGAGGCATGAAAGTCACTGGTGTCTAGCAAAAGAGTGCAAAATGCATTTTGGTTTGGCGCTGCTAAGGAGCGCTGCAACCACAGGAGGAGGAGCGTCCTAGGGGTTCGTAGAACCTCCGAGATGTTTGCGAAAGGATGTGTTTTCAGCTACTTCGGCTTTGGCAGGTCAAAATTGCTCTCCGGTTACCCTTGCGGCTCAGTGATATTGTTCGCCAGATAGTGCAGTGAATTTTGGGTCCGCCTCTAGTAAGATAATTAGATAGAACTACAGTCATGAAGTCACTGTTGTCATCGCGGCATCCGCTAGGTGGGTGTTCGTCTGCCTCCAACGCAGGGATTCTATCTGTGGAGCGCGATGAGAGAGGAGGATTGTTTGGGCTCGTTAATGAGGGGGAAAGTCATGCGCACCATTGGCGCCGTCGTCTGTGTATTTACCGAGCGGCCCTTACGATGAGCTTTGACATATTGTGAAAGACATATTGTGAAGACATATAAAGACATATTGTGAGGTTGTTTCGCTGCGAGGGTATGGTTCTCGACATGCTCACAAGGGTGTACTCTCCTTCCTATGTGTTAAGTCCTGACGCCCAAAATGCTGGAATGGACACCCACAGTGGACTGTTGGGGAATCGGACTCAATGAAAAATGCTTGAACTGGCCAAGCAGACCGGCGCGATTTTATGACTTATATAGCAACTCAATGACTTTGAGCATGAATGTGGTTAATACTGATGCCGATTCAGGGTAAACCTCATCACGTAATTTTGTCCTTAAAAATGAATACAAAATTGTATTGAGAAAAGGATCGACGTCCTTTGATACGTGTTAACGCACAGGACAGCCTTTCACCTTGATGTTCGACACCTAAATCTACATCATCCTGGTGTTCCAGTTAAGTCGATATGATACTCTAAGTCCGGGAACCCTAACCAGAATAAATCGTTTAAGCTGTAAAAAGGGTCATGAGGGTCTCTTTCTGCCGCCAGGTATCAAATTTGCAGCTTGTATCCCGTAACTGCCGTTACATAACGGTATTCCTTAACATCGAATCACATTTTATCGTCTTTAGACTCCGTGGTTTATATTGCAGTTGAGTACCCTGAGCGCCTTTGGGGTCCCTTAAACATCTCAGATCACGGCATTAATTGTCTTCTTCTTCCGAGGTGTGTTTTACCACCCGTAGGCCCATAGACTGTCTTGGTCATCGTTAATGATTTGGAGGAAGGCTTGAATATATATGCATGGAAATCGCGATTTCTCTAGGATACCTGACCAGTTCGGATCTACCCGCTTTCTATGGGGAGTCCAACTGTTCCGAGAATGCTGAAAATGTAAGAGCCACCTGACCTGTCCGGGCGTTCGTTTGGATGGCCATACCATTTTGACCCCCAGCTACACTGCAGCAGCCTTCGGGCTTTAATCTTCTTAAGACCTGTCTGATAACCTCCTGATTTTGCTGCATCTTTTAAAAACCTACTTAAGAAGTACAAAGCCGCGTAATCCATTCTTTTCGATCGAAAAAGTGCTTGGTACCGAATGCGGCTCCATGTCACAGGCTCACATACAAGCGGCCTGTCTGGGCAGCTGCTTGTCTATCTCCATTTTCATCTTTGTCACGCATGAGTCAAACGAAAGGACGTGCTGGTTGCGACATTGTATTGAAGCACATATAATGAGCGCGGAAAATGTTCGGTCATGAAGTCGTTGACGAGTATGTTATCGATAGAAAAGTGGAAAATTCGATGAGAAGGCGTCCTAATGATGGAAATGATTGCTACACCATTTAAACGCGCAAAGATATGAGACGAATGGCTATACGCTAAAATTACACGACCGCAATCAAGACATCGCGCTGCACCAAACGAAGGTTGTGATTGCCTCGCTACATGCGTCGACTCTTATGGAAGGCTCGTCACCCACAAAGACTATCAGACATAATTAGGTCTCGCGATGAATTTGCCTTGAGGCAAGCCCCTAACGTAGTGAATCGATGGCATTTAGAAAGCGGTTCACGCTCATAAAACACACGGACAGCTCGTTTCAAAGCACAACCCATATTTACAACAACTACACAAAATACTTCATGGTCACGACGAGATGTGTGTGACAAGGAAGAGGTTAACGAACCAACCAGGGGTGTCATGCACGGAACAACATGGACAGAAGTCGTGCACACAAGCCATGACAACTTGAAATCACTGATATACGCAGAACGAAAAAAATGCGCACCTGGTAACGGCAACCCCGAGCATAATTGGCTAGTGAAGGGAGCTCCAGTCACCTGCTGTGGCTTCCCAACGATATTTGAGATGCATTTCCCCCTTAAAATGGCAGAAATGTGCAAATGGTACGCTCAACGTGTTGCAAGTACCTCAAGCTCTTACAAAACTAAAAGGCAAAATGATTCAATAAAAAATACTCTGAGTAAATTTAGAACGGAGTTAAAACAGAAAAATGAACTACAAACTTCCCGCACAAAATAGTACAACTCAAGTACAAAATATACAAGCACAACAACGAATCAAAATCACAAGAAAGACACCTCTGCCTAGCTCAGCCGACATCAAGAGAAGCGCCGGCCACCTCCATCCATACGCTTTGAACATCCGCATGCCACATCTCCATCAAAACAGGTGGTCCCCGTTCACTGCTGTCGACGCATGCGCAGTGCCGCCCAGGAAAACGCTGCAGTCAGGGGCGTGGGAGTTTGTTACTGGTCCCAAACTGCGCAGTCAGGGGTTTCGTTATCCGAACTCATGCATCTGGGGCACGCGCGGAGTTTGTTACTGGTCCCAAACTGCGCAGTCAGGGGTTTCGTTATCCGAACTCATGCATCTGGGGCACGCGCGGAGTTTGTTACTGGTCCCAAACTGCGCCGGTATGTCTGTATGGCCCGTGCTGACTGCCTACGTCACCTACGTCACCAGCTGAGCAGGCGTCGTCAGCTGAATTTGCAGCGTTCGACTGAAGACTTTCGTGTCTGTTGTCTCGTCAGGAGCCGACGCTGAGATCCGTTTCGAGTGATGAATTTCATAAACCGACAAGTGTGCTGTGTTTGTGCCAGCCTTTTAGGAAGAATACATGTTCAAGCTTATAGAAGGTCATTCAGGCATTTAACATCTATAGATAAAACATGGTTGAAATTTTGTTATCACTATGAGCATACGTAGATGAAAAGACCCGTTCAATTGTAACATGATATAAGAAAAATACAGCAGAAATACAGAGAGGAATCAATGACGACAGCGCAAGCGATGTTCAACAATTACTTAAATACTAACGGAATGACTAAAGTAAACCAAAAAACAGCTGAACGGCTTTAAAACCAATACTTTGTCAGATATGAGGACTTGGAGGTTAAGGTGCTGCATGCGCTGACAGACCTCTCTCCGTTGAAAGTCCGCAGGTCCAGCATGCTAACGACCAAGCGGTCGCTGGGACACACGATGCTCACCAAACTGCATTGTCACACGCTCGCTGACGTCATCACATCTCGGCGACCGTCTCGACGGCCGTCAAGCCGATGGCACTGTCTGCAGAATACAGCGCACCGCACAGTCGTCACAGGGCACTTCAAGTGTCTGCACCACAGTGAATACTAACCATTGGTGCATTGGCCTAGCCCTGGTGCCTGGTGGCTCATTGGCCTAATCCTGGAGACATGTCGGTGTACTGAAAGCCTCCGGACAGTCGACAAAGCAGGAAATTCGAATGGACGCCAGACCACCAGATCCACATCCAATCGACACCTGAGTGACCTTCGAACACCATCACGGCGATGCCCCTGTGACACCCCACCAACACCCGGCGACGGCGCAGCGCGTGCGCTACTGGTGCAAGTGGCCGCCCGCCATCGCGTCCATGGAGCCCTGGTTGAAATAACTCAGCGCCAGCGCCAGCTGCGTCTCGGTCAGCTCCTGACCGGCTCCAGCGACGCTGGCGGCCACGTCCGAGCAGAGCCAACCGTGCGGGGCTTGGCTCGTCGCCGGCGACCCGTGCGAGCTCGCGCCGGCCACGGGCGCCGGCGACACGTGCTGACCGGCGCCCACGTGCGGCGACACGTGCGGTGTGAGGCCGGCCGGCGAGCCGTGCGGCGGCGTCAGTAGGTACGCCGGCTCTGGCTTCACGCCGGCGTCGCCGTGCCGCGAGCCGTAGCCGGCCGGCGGGAAGGCGCAGGCGTCGCCCCAGGCGCCGGGCGGCGTCTCCGCCTGCCAGGCGGCGGCTGGCGGCCCGCCCGAGCTGGAGGAGGCCGGCGACGGGGTGCCGGGCGCGGCGCGGCACCCCGCCGCCGCCTCCAGCCGCTGCTGCTGCTGCTGCTGGTACTGCTGGTACTGCTGCTGCTGCTGGTCGTGCTGGTGCTGGTGCTGGTGCTGATGCTGGAACTGGTACTGGTACTGGTACTGGTACTGCTGGTACTGGTAGGGCGTCATCATGTCCGGCGGCAGCGACGACTGTGGGAACTGCGGTGGCGACAGCTGCGGGAAGTGCCCGCCGAGCGGCGCTGCCGACGACGGCGACGCACGCGGGTACACGGCACCCCCGTACGGCGACACGCTCTGGACGTGGGGCGAGGCGGCCTGAGCGTACGGCGAGACGGCCTGGGCGTACGGCGAGGCGGCCTGGGCATACGGCGAGGCGGCCTGAGCGTACGGCGAGGCGGCCTGGTGGAACTGCGACGGCGAGGCGTGGGAGAAGACGCCGCTGGCGCTGGCGCCGGCGGCGCCCTGCGCGCAGGACGGCGAGGCCTGGGACAGGGCGGCCCCGCCGCACGACAGCGGGGCGGGGCTGGCCTGCGCGCCGCGGCAGCCGGCTGGTGAGGCGAGGCCGGCCGGCGTCAGCTGCGAGGGCGGCGCCTGCAGCGTCATGGAGGACATGGAGCTGACGGGCACGGCGTAGGCGCTGCTGTAGGAGCCCAGCGTCTGGAGCTGGCCGGTGGAGTACGGCGGCGGGTACAGTGCGTCCTGGTAGCCTGCAGGGGACAGGGAGGAAACACGGTGAGGGGGCTGCGAGGCGCAGTGACGTGGCTGCGAGGAGCAGTGACGTGGCTGCGAGGCACGGTGTCGTGGCTGGCAAGCACGGTGACGTGGCTGCGAGGCACGGTGACGTGGCTGCGAGGCACAGTGACGTGGCTGCGAGGTATGGTGTCGTGGCTGGGAAGCACGGTGACGTGGCTGAGAGGCACGGAGACGTGGCTTCTACAAAACGGGACAATTTATTTTCACGTTGGGCTCAACGCCATGCATCAGCATAACGCGCTGGTAGGTATGAAATCCATGGTGTGGACGTGCGCCAGGGTGGCTGTGGAAGTAAGTTGTGTCGCTCCACTGCTGCTTGCAAGAACAGTGCAAAATTAAAGCAGCGGGGCTTTTCTGCACTCGAAGAAAATCAACCACTGAGTATAATACAAGACTGCATCCATGAAACGACTGCGGAAGCATCCTGGATGCCCAGTAGAAATGCGTTTCTGCTGTAGAAGATGGTGGTTCACGTTTTGCCCGTGTCTTGCACGCAGGACATGCTATTATGCAAGCACATTTATATGCATGCTATCTGACAACCTGTGCAAGCTAATGCTTGAACTCAGATAGTTTTCCTCCGAAATTTGAAATATGTTTTGCGTCATACGCCGCCGGCTTAAGTATACGACATTGGCAAACATATTCCCTGTTACATGACTGCCGTGAATGTCTCTCAGAACTTAATGAAATTCATCAGAAATATGTTGTAAGTATGCTGGTGTGATTATTGGTACATAATGATATCGAAAAGAAAACATCACAATTATTTACATTGTGTAGGATCGTGTCCCAGGATTGGTCTGGCAGCACTTCCTGGGCTGTTATCGAGTTAGTTGCTGGGTTAGCTACTGTGTTAGTTACTGAGTTTGAAGAGCGCGTCAGTTGCGTTGGTTATTTGAACAAAAACTACTAAAACTACTAGTTACTAGAACTTTGAACATAACTATGCTCGTAGTTTGTCATTAATGCCTTAGTCACGCTGAAAGCGCGTCAGCTGCGTACTGGACCAGTTAGCGCAGAAACAAGAAATGGTCTACAGACCATGTGGCCCAGCTTCCAATTGTCTGGGTCGCTGAATACAAAATTTGTAGGTCAACGCCTTTGAAAAGTAAAAAAAACTGCTCGCAGATCGATCGAAGGCCGATCCCCCACCAGCCAGGACAGGGAATGTGATTCAGTGTGGGATAACGATTCTGCTTAACCTCGTGGCTGGGGCACTCAGCTGGCGCGTGAGTCACGGACAACGGCGCTCCGCATCTGCGGCAAAGTGGTCGAGCTCCCTCGGAGAGCCGGCACCAGCGCGTCTCGTAAGTGGGGCCTACGCGTAGTCGACCCATTCGTCGGTTCTTTTTTAAGCATGATGGTTTCCATTCGCCGAACTGCGCTTTAAAGGCTCGGAGCTAGTTTGGTCTCCGAATGAAATCGGTATCTAATTAATCCCAGATGCGCTGCCATCGTGTTTTTGAATCACTATAAAATACGTCCCTGAGATCTGATGCTGGTATCTTTTAGCAGGCCAAGCGAAGGCCGGTGGCACCTTGCTTGGCTAAGGAATCAGCCTGTTCGTTGTCGGATATCGGGAAATGTTGGGTACCCAGGCGAAAACGACACGCTTGTCAGCCTGCTCCAAGTAAGCAGTGTGTGTGCAGCATTTCTTCAGCGATTTTGTGCTGCTGACTTGCTTGTCTTAAGGTTACCGGAGAGCTCAAAGAGTTAGAAGATACCATATACGTGGATTCACATAGATTCACTAAACGTAGAGCCTCATGGATAGCGTACAGCTCTTCGCTAAAAATGTAACATTGTTTAGAGAAGGTAAAGCATCGTATATTACTTGACACTAGCCTACATTCTACACTTGTGTAAGTTTTGCAGCTGTCAAATATAAAGCTTAATTAAGCTTAATAAAGCTATTAAATATAAAGCTTCCTGAGCCGGTGCACGTGCCCATGCCTGTTTCGGTTTCCAAACTTTTGTGCCCGATCTGCGGATTTACCCGTGTGGTTTGCGCACCCACGGGCTCGCCCAGTCCAAAGAGTTCTCTATCCCGCACATTCCCTCCTCCCTCTCTCTCTTTCCCTCTCTACCCCTCTACCTCTTCCTCTCTCTCTCTCTCTCTCTCTCTCTCTCTCTCTCTCTCTCTCCCTCTCTTTCTCTCTCTCTTGCTTTTCCTCCCTCTTACCACTTGCGGCACGATTTATCCTTGGCCACAGCAGTCAACCAGCAAACGTTAGCTGCGTGATTGACAAAATTTACGTGCGGGGATTGAAGGAAGGCTTTTAAACTTCGTCCTCTAGCCTCTTATCCCTCACTCATCTGACCGCTTGCCTCAGTCACATATGACACGCCCCCTAAAATACACAATACACGCTCGGGGGGGGGGGGGGGGGGGATAGGACGCGCCGCTGCTGCCACCTGCCGCGCTCGCTAATGCCCAGTAGCCTCCTGTCCGCGGGTGCTGCAGAGGTCCGCGTCGTCAACATAGCCGGGCTGTCTGAGCACATACCGGTTTATGGCCCGACCGTAAACCGGCCTGGTGTCATAACGGCCGGGAGAGGAGAGAGAGCGAGCGAGCGCGCGCCGGGGGAGGAGAGAGGACGCCCCAGACGCGTCGTCCGGCTGGAATGCCAATCTCGCCCCGTCACACACCTAATGTAATTATCGAAGAATTCCAAAACGTCCAGTCGTGATGGCGAATTTTTCGTTTTATGATGTGCCGTGCGGCGCGCGGCGGTCCTGAGAGGCCCCAATAAAACACAGTCGGGACCCCGGCACGCGGCGGGCACGGTCGGCAGGCACGGTCGGCGGACAACGGCCACTGGTCGACATATCCGCTCCGAGGACATCACCCAAGCCGGAGACGCCCCGTCGCCTGAGGCGTGCTGAGGCGTTAGCCGGCCGTGCTGGCACACCAGCCTAGCGCGTCAGGTCGGGTACCAGCTTGGCGCACCAGGTCGGGTACCAGCCTGGCGCGTCAGGTCGGGCACCAGCCTGGCGCGTCAGGTCGGGTACCAGCTTGGCGCACCAGGTCGGGTACCAGCCTGGCGCGTCAGGTCGGGCACCAGCCTGGCGCGTCAGGTCGGGGTACCAGCTTGGCGCACCAGGTCGGGTACCAGCCTGGCGCGTCAGGTCGGGCACCAGCCTGGCGCGTCAGGTCGGGCACCAGCCTGGCGCGTCAGGTTGGGCACCAGCTTGGCGCACCAGGTCGGGTACCAGCCTGGCGCGTCAGGTCGGGCACCAGCCTGGCGCACCAGGTCGGGCACCAGCCGGGCGCATTACGTCAGGTACCACTCCGGTGCGTCATGTCTGGTAAGTAAGGGCTCTGTCTGGTACAGCCTGAGCTGTGCCAGCTCTGATGTACCAGATGGGGCTGGTGATAAGTTATTCACGGTATGATGTCACGGTAGTCACGGCAGTCACGGCATGACGTCACGGTAGTCCCCGTATGACGCCACGCTAATTACGGTAGTCACGGCATGACAGTACTGGCCGATCACGGCCAAGCGGATGGGCTCGGTGAGAACATCCGCCACCGGCGGTCATCGCTACATAGAGCTTAAGCAAACATGGTTTGATTGAGGACACAGCGGTGTGGCGAGCTTTCACTTCGAAAGCCGCGAATATCTTTCTGCTGCGTTCTTCGCTTCTAAGGCCTTGGATGGTGTCTCACCGCCCAGTTCTCCTAATGACGGGTCAGAGATCCATGGCGGTGTTGAAGCCCCGGCAGCCCAGGCCGCCAACTCGGGTGTTAGGAACTTGAGCGTGATGTGGAGCCGTGTGAACGGTACCCCGGCAGTGCGCAACGCTCGCACCGGCCTGGTGGACCCCGTGACATTTTTATTGCGTTTTTCCAGTTTAAAATTAGCGTCATTTTTGTGGCGCCTCTGGATGTGTCATACAAATGTTTTTTTCTGACTCCAGCCATCGGAATTTTGAGCTTTCACAGGGGCTCACTAAAAAGCTCGGAAATTTCGGAAGGAAAACGAACACACCGCAAGCAGAACAGTATCCAGCGTTGAAGACCGCTCACGATATCACTGGTGGTCGTGTGAAAGCGGACTGCGGACGGCAACGCCAGGCGAACATCACGCAAAAAAATAGACAGACGACCCGAAGCAGAGTCGAATCGGTCTGGGGACAGCCCTCCGGAAGCCGACGGGGACTGCTGTCCACCTACAGAGCCTTAAATGTACCACAAATCTGAACCGACGCGGCGGTTTTTAGCGGTGTGGAGCGCCGCGCGCGAGAATGCATCGCCACAAAACCCTGGTTCCCCTACGTGGTGCGCCTTAACCCTCTACGACTGACCGCAGCCCCAACGTGGAAGCGCAGCTCACTGAACCACAAAGTGCGCTGCATCTTGACTGACCATAGTCGTGGCCCGCCTACGACCGCGAAGACCCCCCTCCAGCCCTCCCCCCCCCCCCTCCCACCACTGGCACGGGCGGTGGGTGAAGGGGGGGGGGGGCGAGCGGCCGTTTGCAGAGGCGTCGGAGGCGGGGCGGGCGGTGCAACAAAGGCCACCGCCGCCGCCCGCCGGCCGCAAACAGCCGACGCCTGTCCAAACACGGCCGCCGAATCCCTCAGCGGTTACGGCTGGCGCCAAGTGGCGAGCAAACATGGGCAGGAAGCCATTGCCGCGGCCCGGGCGACGTCGGGCCGGCGAAGGGCCGCCGCCCCCCCCCCCCCCCCCCCCCCCCTCCCCTCCGGTGGAAGCCCGGGCGTGCTGCGGAGGACGGGGCAAGATGACGGGATGACTCCGCGATACGGGGCCGGAAATCAGCCGAGCCTATGGACGGGGACGGGCCGCGGCGCCATCGCTGTTCACCCTCACAAACCGCATAGACTCAATGTTGTATGCCAACTTCCCAAGCGTAGGAAGGAGGCATTCTCGGTTGCCAATATGTATCAGTAGGTCAGAGTATGCCGTTCTATATGGTACCAACGGACAGCGGTGTGGTGAAAGGGAATACTTCTGGGTCATGCCCTCCCCTCCCCCCCCTTTCCCCAGAGGAGGCGGTCCCCCTCGAATCGGAGCCTCCAGCACTTTTTTGGCGTTTAAGACGCCTGCAGGACATCTCAAGCAAACAAACGGGCCCTCGAGGCTTCAAAATGGGATTTCGAGCCTAACAGCGTTCCCCGTGCATAAATAGAGTCCGTATAGCGACAAAGTGGGTTCTCTAGCTGAAAAAGGCTCCCTGAGCCCCGATTTGGGTCCCTCCTGGGGGAAATCCAGGCTATGTCACTGCCAGCACACGCTGGTAAGCGAAATTCTTAAAGGGTGTGGCCCCACATTTGCATGAGGTTTTGAACTGAAATAACCATCTTGAAGATCATTCGATGCAGCTCACAGTTCCGCCCTTCTCAGGATCCAAACCGCTTTAAGGTCTGGGCTAAACGCCCGCGAAGATGTGCAGACTTTTTCGAGGAGACCTTTTCTAGGTCACCGAGGCGTCCATGATGCCATAATGACGTCATTCAAATCATGCGATTCTATTAACCATGCGGCGATCATAGCCAAGAAACCATGTCCAGTCGTTCATATCTGGCGCTCGTGAGCACGATTTCGAAATTGTATCGTCGTCAATTGGCTCTCAATCATTTATATGAAAAGTACTATAACAAAACAAACAATGCCATATTGAAAAGTATATTTACTTAACGGTGAAATTGTGATGTCCAGAGCAGCCTTTCTCACTTAAAGTATTCCAGTTGCTATGAGTGAGCTTATTTCATCATGTCTAATACTCGCCACAAAATCTTCAAATGTGGAGCATTTCCTTCAAACATCATTGGTATCTGTTAGGGGAAGGCTTAAAGCCCACGAATCAATGGCCACGCCAATGAAGGTCGAATTAAGCAGATGATGCAAAGCTATGGTGTTCACTCGGGGTAATCTTACAAGCAATTTTGCTTATGTTTCGGGAAGCAGGCGCAGACGAGTGTTGTTGCTGTGTCTGCCTTTGTCCGTGTCTCCACCATTGAAAGAGAATTTGGCGTTGCCAACATCCTGAGATAAGAAACAAGCACTAACACAGCGTCCTGGAATTTTGGCTTTATCAGCGACGGGACAGTTTTCCACGCTAGGATCTATGATGAGATCGGATGACAGTTAGGCAAAAACATCAGCAACCAGGCTATCAGCATCACGCTATCAAGAAAGGCTCCATTTCGAGCGTGGAATGATGGCCAGGAGCTGTTTCTCCTGGGAGCCAAGCGCCTCGACCCCGCACGGCGGAACGGCACCACTTCTCTGCCCGTCTTCGCCGGTACGCCCTGCCGAACATCTGGACGCGACAACACCTGACCCCCGTCAAACAGGAGAGATCCTGGCACCGCCTGGCCAGACGGCCTCCACTCCCCCACTCCCCCTCCTCCCCAGTGTCTTCATAAAGCGGCGTTGGGCGGCAGCTATTACACCATCGGCCACGTTTGGTGGCGTTGTTTTGACCGGCGCTAATCATTTGAACGCCTCGGCCGATCCCGGATAACGCAGCTAATGACTCCCGGCATCAATTAAGGAGTAGGCTGGGCTCGACCGCTGCGGCCCGACCAGCCACCTGGCCGGTCGTGCTGCAGTGTGCTCCGCCAATAACCAACACCATTCGCTCCGACTGGTCCGAACCCACGCTAATGGCGCCCGCCTCCACCCGACCCGCACAATGTGCAGAGCCCTAATACAACACTTCAATGCAGACGGTCATGGCTCGGCAGTGAGTAACTGGTGTGTTATGGGACCACAATCGAGGATGGACCGACTGAGACATGGACCCGTCAAAGAAGCGGAAGATAATGTCGTGCGTCGTAAACACGGATTGACCAACGACCGGACTGGCCCGTTAGGCACTTCACTTACTCCGTGACTCGCAATGTACGAGACCACATCAGAGTCGCAGTCAATGTTTAAATTGGCTCTTCATGGCGATGCGCTTACGCAATGTTTAAGATGCAAATAAGTCGGCTGTTTATAGACACGCATATAGACACGCGAAGAGAGCCAACAGCGCGCGCGAGGCTGTGTTTGCCGTCGGCCACGCTTGCTGACGTTTAAATTCCGCAGTAAACACAGCCGGACAACAGACAGCATCAATCGGCAGCTACAGTCGCGGTGTTTCGGTACAGATGCGGACGGAATGGCTTTATAGCGGCGAGAACTCCCACGCGGTCGCGCCCGCAGGCGGTCCTGCTCCAGTGCAGGCCCGCTGGCCGGGTCATTACGGGGACGATAGCGCGGGGTGGGGTCAAAAGGTCGGGCTCGCCGCTCGGGGCGAGCGGGACGCTCGCTCCACACGCGCCTCCCGCGTCAGGCGGGAGCGGAGGGGGAGGGGCGGACGTTGGGCGGCGTTGTGGGGTCGGACCAGAGCCAGCCGGCTGCCGGACGTGGCTGTGGATGTTCCACCGGGCTGTAAGCCCCAGCGCTAGAGTGAGACTTCTGAGTCGTCGTGTTCCGCGGCAGGAGCAGGGCCTGAACTGCATGAAAATGGCAGGCGAGGCACCAACAAGGTGGACAGAGGAGGAAAGCGAGCTTAGGGTTGAGGAGAACCTAGATACAATAGGAGGAAGTTGACAGTTGAAGCCTCTGTGGACTTTCTTTGAAAACAAACGTCAAAAAATTACCCATCATTTCTGTTGAAAATGTGGTTTGACTGAAAAGAACGTTTGAAGATTGCCAGCCGGTCGACAAGTAATTCAGTTAGCGGCATTGCCTCAGGGGTAGGGAGAAGATCGTTTTTTTTTCTCGAAAATCCCGGGAATCTTGACCAAATTTCAACAAACCCTCCCCGGTATCAAGTTCCAACCCATTGGCTCAGGGGGTGAGGAGGGGGGGGGGGGGGGGCACGGCCGCCTTCTGATCTCCCTCAGCGACGTCCCCTCCAAATGGCAATAACGCAGATCGTCGAAGCTTTCCGAACGTCACGCGTTGGCCCCCCAGATACAAACGCCCCAAAATACGCGCATCAACGCGAATCAACACTCGACCAATCGGGACGCCCATGCAGTCAATGCCCGCCTCACCCGCCCGCAAAGAGGGCGTGGGTGCATAACCAGGTATGACCTCCAAGGAAGGGGCCTCCCTTGGCCATCCGGCTACGTCCTAGAGGGAGTGTCGGGGTGTCCAGGGAGTTCCGGCCGTGCAGGAAGAGCGTGTTGGCGTCATCGGCGGGTACTCACCGGGCGCGTCCTGGGTACGGCACGAGTGCTGCACCTTGCTCCTGGGAGAGCCCTTCTTCGGGCCGCTCGAGCCGCCGCCCACGCGAGGGTACGGGTTGAAACGACCTGCCGGCGCCGGCGTGGTAGTGACGGACCGAGACAGGCCAAGGGAGAGAAAACGAGGAAAGAGTGGCACTGAAGGTGACGTGCAGGTTTCGACGTCATAAAAATGCAGAGATGGTATAAAGTGTTCAGTTAGCACGTAGTTTTGTAAAAATTGCACGGCGTGATATGACATGGACGTGTTGGCAGCGTTATTGCTGGCACATGCGAGGCAAGGCCTCATAAAGTAGCAACTACTATACGCACATTCGGCCGCATTTGCAGCGCATGATACAAGTCGCGTTCCACATTCTCGCGTGGTCAGTAACTATGCTCTGGCCTTTGGCGACGGAATGTGGAGGAGGGGGGGGGGGGGGGGGGGGGAGGGGGACACCTCTCACGGATCAGCACAGAGGCTATGGGCGATACTTAACGAGAAATGATTGTATACTCTCAATAACTGATTCAGGCTAAAACGGTAAGTTGGGATGGTTTAGTTAGTTCGTTTTCTGCATTACCATATATCGTGCGAGCACGCCATTAACACGCTAAGAATGTGAGATCGCTAGAGCACCCCACCCACCCCGCAAATGTACCAAGTGCTACACCTTACGGAGGCTGCGGACCAACCCTTGTCGACACCAGGGTCGGACCACACCACTTTGGTGCTAGTGTACAGGTAATTTATTCAACGCCCAGTAAGCGCGTACCAGCCGTTGTCAGTGCTGAGGGCGGCCTGCGCACGCTGCCTTCATCCCCCGTTGACGGTGTAGTGCCCCTGCCGACGGGTCAGCCCCATCTCACTGTACCCACAGCCCAGCGGCCGCGACAGACAACCGAGACGAAGGCGAGCAGCCCGCCCAGAGCCGTGTCCAGCGGCCGCGCACCGCTCACTGCCGGCGCTGGGTGAGTGGCGCGTGCAACACGTCCCCAGCGGCTTTGTGCTGACCTTTGCCGGCGCTGGGCGGCCGGCGCGGCTGGCCCTGCTGGCTGCTGGCCAGCAGCTGGCCGGCTTGCGCCAGGCTCAGTTCGAAGGCGGCCAGCGCCGATGCCGAACGGTTGAAAGCACGCGCGAACGGGTTGTTCTCCACCTTCAGCGCCGTCACCTGCGGCGAACAAGGCGGGGTCAAGTGTGGGACCAGACTTTGTTGACTTCGATTTTGAGGCTTTGACTTGAGACTTTGAGACTTTGACGTGTTACGGCCAGAAGGGCATAGCGTAACATTGGGAAAATATTTGTACGGAAATCTTTGTGCTGCATGCAAAGAAACGCGTAGACAACTACCTCGTGCTCACTAAACCACGATGACCTGAAACTGCTTCCGCAGCGACCCTTACGCCCTTCCGACCTCTATTGGTCATCTGGCGCTGCCTCCCCCCCCCCCCCCCATCTTCGCGTATGTGCCGGGACGTTATCGGTCTGAATAAACCAATCTGAGAGGGACATAAATACCGGCAGTGCGTTGATATGCTTCTCACATGAGTTCGCCGCAACCATCAAGTGGTAATAAAGTGATTAAGTGCACAGATTAACCGGAAGCTGTATCACACCGCCTTGAAGTCGACGCTCGTCATGTTTAAATGACATCAGAAGGCCACGCAGACCTTAACAACGCCAAAACGGCGGGTGTGAATCAGAATTCGTCGAAGCCTCCCTCCATCCAACCAACTCTGTGGCTTGCGAGCTAGGATGATCTTGAAGAGGAACATTCCTCGCCATTCTTCAGCGGCGTCCGCGCTGACACCCAAAACCCTGACCCCGCGACCTCAATGCCTGTCGGGCCTTGACCCGTGGCCGGTAACTGACCTTGTCGTTCTGGTAGGCGGTGACGGCCACGAACTGGGTGACCTGGAGCCGCTGGGTCATGACCCCCACCGCCTCTAGACCCTGGCCGGGGATGACATTCACGCGTACGATGTGCAGCCGCGGCTCGTACATGTGCATGGAGTTCAGCGGCATCTGAGGACGCAGAACCGTGGCGGCGTTAGGACGCAGATCCGTAGCGGCGTTAGGATGGAGATCCGTAACGGCGTTAGGATGGAGATCCGTAACGGCGTTAAGACGCAGATCCGCGGCGGCGTTAGGACGCAGATCTGTAGCGGCGTTAGGATGGAGATCCGTAACGGCGTTAAGACGCAGATTCGCGGCGACGTTAGGACGCAGATCCGTAGCGGCGTTAGGATGGAGATCCGTAACCGCGTTAAGACGCAGATCCGCGGTGGCGTTAGGACGCAGATCCGTAGTGGCGTTAGGATGGAGATCCGTAACGGCGTTAAGACGCAGATTCGTGGCGGCGTTAAGACGCAGATGTGTAACGGCGTTAGGGCGCAGGTCCGTAGCGGTGTCAAGACGCAGATTCGTTGCGGCATTATGACGTAAATCCGTAGCGGCGATAGGACGCAGATCCGTAGTGGTGTTAGGACACAGATCCGTAGCGGCGTTAGGACGCAGATCCGTGGCGGCGTCAGAAGCAGTGCGGCGGAAACGGCGCCGGCAACGGTAGCGTTCCATCCCAGCTGAGCTAGTGGCTGGAAGTAATCAATCGCGCCAAGTCGACATAATGTCATGGCTTGGTTTGCCGTATGATTTGACGCTAAAGACGTGTCCCTAGCTTTTCTGGTTTCAGAGTAGCGCCGGTTTTTGAGGGGACAATGCACGACGATCCACGCCGGCGAGGGAGGCGGGCAGCAGTCGGCGAACCCGTGGACCGCGCGTGGTGAGCCGAAGCCTTCACGTTAACGGAGTTATACGTCAGATTTGTATGCTCAAAACACAACAAAAGAGATACAAAAACGTATTATGTACAGTCCGGGTTCGCGTTAAGCCTCGCCTTGATTCACCCCTTTTCACAACGTGGTTTGATAGGGGAGAGGGGGGCCGATGGGACCCGTTGCCGTTTGCCAGACTTATAATGATTGAGCCTCGCGGAAGGGAACAATGGCTTGGCCTCAACGAGGTTTTACGACTGGCTCTAAATTTTTATTTTTTAGGTCAATAGTCGATTCCATTATACCAAATAAAAAATGAGCTTTGCCGAAAATCGCCTTTTTCAGCATTACAGGTCCATATTTATAAAAGCACGCCACGCAGCAACATGAAGCTTATACAGGTGTGCTCCTTGCTCACTTCGAAGTACAACTGTATGCATTTGTGTGCGCTTTGGGCATACAGTTATGACGTATGACTAGGTTAATGTGACAGTGTCGTCTCGCCACGCGTGGTCCACGGACCCGTCGGTTACTGCCTGCCGCCTGCGCCGGCCGTGGGTCGTCGTGCAGTGTTCCACAAAAGCCGCCGAAAAAGGCCGAAAGCCAAAAGCCGTACAGCCAGGGGCACATTTTTTCGGCGTCAAAACCTACGCGATGCTCCATAAGAGACTGAGGATTTGAACGCGCTTGCCCATTCTCAGCAATCTCAACGGGGGAGCATTCACATGAATTCCTTTTAACAGGGCGAGGGTTAGTGTATGGAGGAAGGCCGCTTCGAATTGTTCCTCATGCGCACCAAAAAAAAAACGCGACCACTTTTACCACACTTGGCATCTCAACAAGCGTGTTGGAGCAAGAGCCCGGACGTATTTTTATCGCGATCATAAAATTCCAGCGCATCAACCCCGACAGTAACTCAACCTTACATTCAATATAATTGGACGCGTGCTCCGCACAGGCGCGCTGTCCCCTGTCCCCCCCCCCCCCCCCCCGCTCTCCGAGGCAGGTGGGACACCTGTTCTGCCGCCGTCACCCGGCGTTAGTGTCACAGGTGCGCAGGCGGGACCGGGCGCTGACGAACCGTGTGAAAACAGATTACTGGCGGCGACACCGTGCCGGCGCTCCGTGGCACCATACCGCGCCGTTTATGGTGTGTGCCGCCGTCACAGGAGCCGGCCGGCGGCACCTCTGAAGTCGACCCGGCTTCAGACGGCGCACGGGCGGCGCCAGGGGCGGGGAAAGGGAGGCGGTCGTGGCCGCACAACGCAACGGTGACGGATGGAGACGTGGAATGGAGGATGCGCAGCAGCCTCAGAGGCGCGTGGTCTTCACCCCCTCCTCCGGTGTAGCATTACTGACTCCGCCCCTGCGCAGGCGGAGACGCGCGCGCGCGCGCGTATGGCGGCGCACGCGCACGCGATGTGAGCGCGTGCGTCTGTCAAGCTTCAATGGGGACGGCGCCTTTGATATGTTCGGTGCAATTTGAAACGTCAAGATCGTGGAAAAGGACGTCACCAGAGCTGAAATCCGACATCAATGATCCGCCGTCAATGATCCGCCACCAAGGGGCCAACAAGCCACCGGCGTCCCTCGGTGCTCAGCGCACAGCGGTGTTAAATGGCGTATTGGCGTAAACCTTACATTTCCGTGGAAGAGAGAGATACGCCTCCAATGTACGTCAAGCAGGCCCCAGCAAGAGAGGAGCTTGAGAGGAAAAGGTGAGCTGGTTCGATGTGTGTGTGCCGAGTAAAACATTCCGTTTATCCGTCATGGTAATGACAAGCGCGTTGAGCGGATATTCACCTCACGCCGACTAACCACACATACCAAACACGACCGAAATACAAGCACCGCAACTGTGACGCCGCGTCCAACGGCACCGGCCAGCCTCCGGCTACCTGTCCGTATGCAGCGTCCCACATCGGAGCCGCGTTAATGCAACAGGTGACTGCCGCGCCCCACAAACAGTGCCGCGCGCCTCACGATGGCTTTATTGCACCGCGTCACCCGTGCCGTAATGGCCCAGCAGCGGCAGCGGTAAGCCGTCCGTACGCTGGTGGAACACGGGAGCGCGGCTCATAAAACGGACATTCAGAGTGCGCGAGCTCTCGCCAGGCTTTGTGACGCGTCTCGCGCGGGCCCTGCACCGAGCCGTAGTCGGGACTTGGTCTGCATACAGCGAGGACACGGAGGCCTGAGGTGGCGAGCCGTCCTACTTGCAGTGGAGCTGGTGTCGCGCTCGGGACCTCGGTGCCCGTCCCAGAGCGCGCTTGGTTTTTTGTGTCGGTATTTGGTCCTGTTCTGGTCTTGGTTGATGCCTCGGCCGCTGCCTCGGTCTCGGAAACGGTCCATCTCTCGGCTTCCCCATCTATTTCCGTCCACACTCCGTCTTGGTTCATGTCTCCGTCTCCGTCTCCTCCTCCGTCTCCGGCTCCGGCTCCGGCTCCGGCTCCGGCTCCGGCTCTGGCTCCGGCTCCGGCTCCGGTTCCGGCTCCGAACCCGTCCCCGTCCCTGTCCCTGTCCCCGTCTCCGTCCCCGTCACTATCCCTGTCCCCGTCCCTGCCCCCGTCTCCGTCCCTGTCACTATCCCTGACTCCGTCCCTGTCCTCGTTTCCATCTTCGTCTCCGTCCCCGTCCCGCCTCCGTCTCCGTCTCCGTCTCCGCCCTAGCCACGCCCGGGCGCCCACCGTCCCCGTGTCCCGCCGGGCGCGCCATTAGGGCACGGCCCGCCCGCGCCGCGCCGCGTTGGGCCTTTAATTCGGCATTGTCTCCCGAAATGTTTAAATGGCGCGCCGTTTACGACTCCGCCGACCGGCTCGGTGGCGGCGGTGGCGCGCGGCGCGCCCGCCTATCGTCGACACACAGTTGTAAACCGCATCAAAGGATGCCGCCGACGATACCGATAAATCAGGCAGTAGATTTTTTATGACAAGGGAATCCGCGTACGGGCCGGATTAAAAACAATAAAAGCGGCACGGCCATTTGGCCAGCTGATGCGCCGTGTCATACCTGGCGCATTAGTGCGCCGTGTTTGTAATCGGCGGCGGGCGGCGCGATCAAACGCGCTCCCGTCTACATTACCCGGCCACAATGGGCCGTAAAGCGCGCCGATCGCGCCCAGAAGCTTGCCGCCTGCCCTCCCCTCTGTCCGCTCCGTCGCTCTCTCCGCCGCGCGGGAAGGGGAGGGGGTTCGATAGGCCCGCCGCACCGTCTGAGGCGGCTCGAGTCAACAGGGCGGGGGCGGGGGCGGAGGGGCAGGGAGGGGGCGCCGGAAGTCGGGCACGGTATCGGCAGGTGAGGGAGGGGAGGGGGTCATGCGTCAGGGAGGCCACCGATAAACTGCCGACGCCCCGTCTACCGCCCCGCCCGAGCGACCGGCCGCCGCTGATGGGGAGGTGGGGTGTCGGCCCGGGGTGGCTGCCGGGGCCGAGGAGCCGGTACAAAGAGCGGCGCGATGACATAATAACAAAACAGGTCACTCTGGGACCTGACGTGGTGATTTAATCTACTGATAATAAGAAACAAAGGCGTTAGAAATCGGTATACGAGGCGGCCATTGCAGCACTTGTACACATCGCAATGAATCCCTTTAAGGTGTTAAGAACTTGAGCACATATCAATTTAGTTTGGCCACAGGCTTTCCATCAAAAAACTGTGAGTCATCGAGCCATTCCTCAATATTTATAAATTTGGCATCAGTCCAGCCCACCGCCGTAAGTGGGCGATTTTATATTTCCCAACTTAAAAAATCCCATATTTCCCCAAAACAAGCTCATAACGAAAGGCAGGAACAAACATCGACTGCAAGCAAGCACTTAGAGCATACAACTAATTTTATAGGAAATAATATATGTTCTGGAATTACACCAGTCGCAGCAAAACCCCATGTTATCAGTTCATCCATTCTCACCCGTTAATCTCATTCTCATTGTCATTTTGTCAGTTCCATGCAGCGGAACCTCACAATCAGCCCGGCGGGAAAATGTGAGCCGAGTGTGCCGCGCAGACCGCGCTGTTGGCACTTTCCCGTGGTAAGGTATCGCCAGTAGCCCGGGTCATGCTATCATGGTCGACAGGTGTCGCACCTATGCACGGTTACGGTACGCTTATGTGGTGAGAACAGTGGAGTCTGACGCCGAACAAAAATAAGGTTTGTAGTGGTGACCTTTCGGAGCTTTACGCATTGTTATGTCTAATTGAGCTACATCGGTGGTAGCCAAGTGGACCAGTTACGTCCAAAGTCAGCTCCTACTTCACAAAAAGCAAGTTATCACGTCCCGCAGCCACATGTAGTTGCCTTGCCACCACAACGAGCGAACAAAGTGGCCCAATCGGCGAGATTGACTGCCTGGTTTATGGCGGCGCTGGCATCAGTCCGCCGCGCTCGAAGCCGTGATTATGGCTGACCCTAGCCGGCGGCAGCGGTGACACTAAGCGGTCAGACCGCAGCGGTCAGCAGGACCAGCAGCCAGCAGCCAGCAGCCAGTCCACCGCGCTCGAAGCCGTGATTGTGGCTGACCCTAGCCGGCGGTGGCGGTGACACTAAGCGGTCAGACCGCCGCGGTCAGCAGCCAGCAGCCAGCAGCCAGCAGCCAGCAGCCAGCAGTCAGTCCACCGCGCTCGAAGCCGTGATTACGGCTGACCCTAGCCGGCGGCGGCGGTGACACTAAGCGGTCAGACCGCAGCGGTCAGCAGGACCAGCAGCCAGCAGCCAGCAGCCAGCAGCCAGCAGCCAGCAGCCCGAAGCCAGCAGCCAGCAGCCAGCACCGGCTGCTGACTCTGAGCGCCCGTAACGTCGCCACAAGCCACCCCTTCACTGGCTGGGTACATGGGCGTGATACCAGCCACGGCTGGGGAATGTTCTAGTTCACTGTTCAACAACTGTGTCTTGCTAAGTCACAGTTTAAAAATTACAAAGAAAATATTATTTGCAAGTGGATCAGTCTTGCCGCTTTTCCTGCTGCTTAATGTTTCCTATCACGTAATCAGACGGTAGTATTGCTGCTTGGCTAGTGGATTGATTGCTTCTTAAACTCTCTCATTCTATATGGGAAAAGCCGCATTAAAACCGCTCGGCGAAGCCTGTCAGAAAGGTGTTCTGTAATGTACTAGCTAAATCACACTTACAAGTTGCAACACCTCTTAGCAATCTCAGACAGACCCGCCGAGGAAATGTACAGAAAGCGTTGCGTTGAAGCTTTGGAACTTTTGAAAATCCCTTTGAAAGTTTGGAACTTTTGAAACTTAAGCTAACTCCCTGCTCCTCACCAACCGTCCGTTTTCTGACGTATCTACGCCCTGTTGTCATGGGAACCGCTCCCGGCAAACCAACACCTCCAAATAGTTGTCATGCCTGGATGCAGTTCGGCGCCGAGCATCATTGTCCAGCTCTCTGACCGACCGTTTTCATGTACCTAGCATACACAGCGCTGGGAGATCTGCGGGCTGCCCCCCCCCCCCCCCCGCCCCTTCCCCCTTACGTTCCGTCCACCGCCGCCGCCGCCGCCGTCCCGCTGCCGCCGGTGGGCCGTCCAAACACAGCCAGCCCGGCCGCATTGGCCGGCTGGCCGGGCCAACATGGCCGGCCTGGCCTGGAATGGCCGCGCGGCCCGCGGACGGAGCGGAGCGGCAGAGGAGGACAGAGCGGAGCGGCGGGAGGCAGATGGAGCGGAGCAGCGGGAGGATGGGGCGGAGCGGCGGGAAGAGGACAGAGCGGAGCGGCGGGAGGAGAACGGAGCAGAGAGGCGGGAGGAGGACAGGACCGACCGGCTAGAGGAGGACGGAACCGATCGCAGGAACCTACGGAACACCAGCAAACAACCGGCACGCGCAGCCCGCCGACGCCTCTCTGCGGCGACTAAAAGGCACACATTCTTTGGAATCACGCTCAAGGAAGGGTGATGCATGCATGGTCTGCTCCGGTAGGGAAAGAACAGTTAGATGCCCCGACGGCTTTCTTTCCTGTCTTTCTTTCTGCGGATGATTCTTTCTTAGCTTCAAGATCGCAACAACTAACAGCATAGCAATGCAAATAACAGGATCACAACACTGTATCCCAGACCGATACACTCGTAAGCAGAACTCAAAGACACCACATATCTCATGCCTGTAGCAGTGGGATTCGCACTCATCTCGAACAAACTTCAGCAAACTCGCGCAGCTGATTTCAACCTAGCCGAAGAGAGCAAAGCTTCACTTCTCTACGTCCGAAAGTGCGTTCTGCCGGACGGCCAGACCGTATGTAGCTCTTGATTGGTTATATGTGTGCACGCACGTTGTCAGCTGACTGTACGCACGTTGTCAGCTGACTGTTGACACACATGGTCAGCTGACTGCTGACACGCACGGTCAGCTGACTGTTGACAACGCCGGGACACTCACCATGGCCGGTCCGACCGTCTTGTCGTTGGTGATCTTGACGTCGTCGAAGCAGATGGGCTCGTTCATCCAGAACTCGCCCAGCTGGTACGACTTGGGATGGACGTAGCAGGCGGTGAGCGGCGGGTCCGCCCGAGCTGTGGCCGTCGGCTTCCAGTCACCGTGGATGTAGCGGAACCTGGCCACGGCACGGCCGGTCAGGGGCGGGTCAGCGCAGGGCTACCGGGAGAGCACTGCTCCAGAGCACTGCACTGCTCCGCTGACGGCAGAGCAACGGCCTCCGGTGCCAGGAGAGGACCGTGCTCCGGTGACGGCAGAGCAACGGCCTCCGGTGCCAGGAGAGCACAGTGCTCCGGTGCCGGGAAGCACCGTGCTCAGGTGACTGGGGAAGCACCGTGCTCTGGTGTCGGGAGAGCACCGTGCTCGGAACGTGACGCTGTGCCGGTGTCGGGTATGCGATTGTGTTACGACATTTATCACCCCGTTTATCACAGACACATAATGATCACAAGTACATCGGACTGCTTTCATCTTACGATCGTGTGTTGTGTCATTGCAGTGAAGTTTCGTGACTTGGCCCCACGAGACAAACGGCTGGACGGTGCATGACATCAGAGGTACAAGCTCGAGGCTGCTATTATCACGCACGCAGCGCTGCTATAATCAAAGTCATTTAAGATGTTCTGTTACCTTTTGGACAATGTTGGCTTCCCAACTGCCGTGTTCCGATTATTTTCACCGCTCCAAACAAAACGCAACACACCCGCCTTCGGTCCGTTGATTTGACTGGATGCAAAACAGTGATGGTGATTTGTTATTGGAGTTCTAGCTGTGACGTCGGTTCATCAACAGCCAATGAACGGACTTGTTGCCTTGCCATCAGCCTAACGTGGTGGCACAGTAAGACACTGAACTGTGAGAAAGCTAGCCAGGGCCAGGTTTTCCGTCGGAAAGCATACTGGTTTCCGACGGTGCACAGGGGGGCCCACCATCTGTAAAGGTTTCTTTGCATCGTTGATTACGTTCAGATTCACCCGAGTTGAAGAGTTTGGGCCCTCCATGTGGCGAAAGCGGTACGTGAACAAACAAGAAAGTTCCCTGTCTCCTCAAGCTTCTCACGACCTCCGTGCCCCATGTCTGTGTGTCAAGAGCATGTTTGAATTTCAGTCATAGAGTTCCGGCGACGGAATTGTGCGTGCATCGAATTGCATTGCATGTGTCGAAGTGGAGGCGGAGGGTGCCAGCTGAATGGGTTGTGTGCGATATCTGTCACTTATGCGCATGCGCCGCACGCTGGAGCCGAACGCCCGTGTGCGCCGCACGCTGGAGCCGAACACGCGCATGCGCCGCACGCTGGAGCCGAACGCCCGTGTGTGCCGCACGCTGGAGCCCAACCACGGTCAGCCGCCGCCGGGACTTACTTGATGTCGTAAAGCTGAGTGAATTCCAGTACCATGGCGTACAGACAGGTTTTCTCGAGGCCCTCAATCTTCAGTCGGATGGTGGGAAACATCTTCCTGGAAGCAACAAGTGTTTGCGGATGACACGTGCAATGTGCATTTCGGCAGAGAAATACGAGACCTTATTGCAGGAACTTTGGCAACCTTAATTAAATTGACAAGCGACGGGCACAACGTTCATATCAGAGACAGCGGAATAATACAATGAACACCGTATAAGCTACCAGCACGCGTCTTTTTGAAAACAATGCCTAACCCACAGCCACATATTGCGCAACATGCTCATGGGATTGCGGAAAAGAGCATACGGAATTGATCCGGAGCGACCATTGTATATTTGTCCCGCTTTGCGCTCCTAGAACGTTGCCAACTGACATCGGCACTTGTCAGGTTTTCGTCGTAAGTAATCGTAGTAGATCCATCTGATGTCACGTTCTTTGGAACTATGGTGTTCTTTGCCCATTCTGCTACGAACGAAGAGTAAGTAGGGTAGACGTGGGTGCAAAATGAACTCAGCAGTTGGCGCACCCTAAAACTCCAATCAACAACAACAAAGAGTAGGTATCAAGCGCCTGTGAGTCTTAGCGACGTGCAGAAAAAAAATTTGGGCCTTCCGAACGAAAACATTTGTTCGCTATCCTTTATAAATTTACTCCCAACATTTTGATTGGTGGTTTCTGTCACCTTAGTTCGCGCTAAGAAAACCCCGTTCTGCGAACCTTGACCCCGCCGTCCATCATGATATTTTAGTTCAACGGCAGAATTTGGTGGCGAAAGTTTAATGTGCGGCAATGCTCAACATGATCCACCCACCTTTCGACCTGATACCTGACCTTGGATGGGCTGCCACCGGCCGCAAGCAATCCCAACCAAGAGCAAAAGCCGGGCGCAAAAGCGACCCGAACCCATCCACCCAGTCGCGGGTGGTCTGGGTGGCAGGCGCTCTGGCCAATTCAGCTACGGGGCCAGCCATTCTCGCGCGACGATTTGTAACACGGTGTGACATCTCTCGCTTATTTGCCAGGAACATCGCTTTTTGTGAGCCGTCCGTCCCTTTCTGTTGAGATTCCTCTGCTGTCAGTTGGTTTCACCTTCAGGCAGGCGGGGGTACAGGCCCATGGTGGGTGTAGCTAGCACCTTAGTCGCTTGCGTCCAGGGAAACCTTTACGGAAAAATGCGAACGGCAAGGCCATCGCGGGCAACATCTGCTGCCAATTCGGGACAGTGTAAGACTGCAGTGTGAGAAGCGTGAAAAGTGTGAGAATGCAGTGTGAGAGGCGTGAGAAGTGCGAGATTGCACAGCACGTCGAGGCGGATGGCATTCCAATGCATGCAACCGGAAGCCGGCTGCTGAAAATTGGTTGCTGTTGAGCCTTGAACCGTAAGTTATTTACCCCCCTCCCTCCGGGTTTCGAAATGTTGCTAACATACAGTGCATCATAAATGACACTCCACTGACGAACCTTCAGTCTGAGAATGAGTTTAAAATGACTCCATTACATAACCAGTACGACACTTTCCTTCATGTGAAATGAGCGGGGTGGTAGCAGATGTGAGCGTTGTTTGCTGTCATCATACAGACGGTACGGAAAACCAAGCTATAAAGCCTGTCACCTCTGGCATCCCACACCAGTTGGTTTTACCAGCGCGTTGCATAGCACCTTTCATGATGCATAACAGGTAGAGATCCACTGCAGAAGCACTGGTGCGTTAATTCAGCACAGCTGCTCTTCAACAGACCCGCCATGTCTCGGCAGGCCTGGTAATTGTAATCGGCGCCGATAAATTATTCAAAGCGATAACGTCGATCGATTTGCAACCATTTGTGGTTTAAGCAGCTGTGACCAAAGTGGCATGATAACTGCAAAAATGTTGAACGGATGCTGGTTATAATGCATACAAAAGCTCGTGCATGTAGTTGTCCAGGCTAAGTCTCTCGAGGCAAGGGCCACAGTCTCTGGCATTCGAGATGGATTTCGAAAAACGTGACGTTGTTGGTCTCCTAAGTTGTAACTCTAAATTTGCTAAGTTGGTCCATTTCTGATCAGTTGCTGGCGTACCCGTTGGTAGGACAGCTTGAAGACTCGGTAGTGAGCCGTAGTCAGAGCATTCAGCTACACCGTGCAGGTACCTTCATGTCAGCATCTGCTTTAGCTGTAAAATCTGACGTCAGTCGCTAAAAACGCCCCAAAACAGGCGGACCTGCTACTTAGGCGCGACAGCTCATGCTGATCTGCATGCATGGACACAGGCTTTTGTCAGTCGGATTTTCCGTCTTCTGCCCAGTAAGAGTGACTTGATTTCGTGTCTCGGCGTTGTCGAGATGTCGAGATCTGGAACGGTTTCGGCCCGTGTTCTTCAGCCTTTCAGCGTTTGGGTAATTTTGTTTTTTCCATTTTGATCGAATGGTGAGGTGTAGTCGTGTTCATAATACAGCTTTGTGGGACAAAACCTGTCTTACCAAATATTCTGGTTGCAAATGCCCTGCAAGTTGAAAAGAACACTTACCCAGCACTGTGCTTCCTGTGTCTGAAAGCTCCGTGAAGCGAAGATGGGAGTCTGCAAACATTTCGGCTCCTAGAAAGCATTTCAGCTGGGCCAGACTGCTTAGGTTGAGAATTGTCTTACAGTACAATCCCCATGGTCTGCATTCTCAACCAGAAAAATGGCCGTGGCGGTGCTTCCAGTACGATACAATGGCAATGCCTTACCAAACTTAAGAGCCCACTTCAGTACCTTTTTAGGTATTTCATACTGGTAGTAAGTATTTCATAACTTTAGCTGATAAGAAAGCTTCGATTGTTGTAACGCATCTAATGCCTTTCATAGCTTCAGCCTAACCTAGACCACGTTGTCCCATGCATCTGCTGTGAAACACTCATTTTCTTTTCTTTCAAACATATACATCATAACATGTGAGTCCGATAACGCTTATTCAGCCGCTTTTGTCGTTTTCCTCATTAGAAACACGCCTGGCAACGCCTGGCAACACACCGAAAACTTGGGCTTCAAGGCATGCCTGAACCATTCTAAGCCAGTGTTTTCGGCTAAGAGTCTTGGACTAGAACCAATATCCAGCTTTCACTTTGACCAGAGCACGACATTTTAAGCCACGTTGCTTGGCATCGCCACCAGATTTCAAACTGAGGCATGCCAGTGTGTATTGCATCGACACGAGTCAACATGGTACGCAATTCATAGTTCTAAACGTCATATGAGAGCTTAATTAGCTTGGGAGTACGTGTAAAACATGTATAGACCATTGCCATGCATCTGTCTGCACGGTCAGGTCCGTGTCAGTGCCTCAGCGACCCCCAGAGGGCCAGCGCTGCCTTTTAATTTTAAGCGATGGGACCACTCTCATTCACAGCCTATCACTTTTTAATTTGGTTCTAGTCTTCAGCATCACGTTCATTGCACACACCCTATGCCGTAAAAAACATGTTAGTGACTTCTAATACAGGCGTGTTATGTGCTTAAGTGTGTGATATGTCATAAAGCCACACAGGCACACAAACACGTGTTTATGTGTGTGGGCTTAAGATGCAGCCAACATGAACATTTCGGATTCCTCGACCAATTACTGGACTACATCCTCCATACTGATCGGTCATTGACACCTTCCGATGCACCCGACAGCTCAGGCTATATGACGTCATCTGCCTCTGACCCTGGAGGAGGAGGGCGGCCACCGCGGTGATCCGAGCCCCGTATCTCTGGTCTCCCAAACACTCAGTGAGCCCGCTGGGCTGCCTGCATCTTTATCTCTTCCTTCATCGCTGAAGTGGTCGTGTGGTGTACAGCTATACGGCACGGCTACATCGAAGGCAAATATATATATATATATATATATATATATATATATATATATATATGGATGTTATGTATATATATATATATATATATATATATATATATATAAATTTCCCTCCCACAAAGGGGGTCGGGTCGAGTTATTGCATCTGCAGGTCGTTGTCGTTGCCGTGACGTCGTGATGTCGTTGCAAACCCCAAGTGGTATTACTGAAGCCTGACATGAAATCGGGCTTCCTATATTGCTCCGTTGTGTTGAATCCACCGGCAAAATGCAGCCAGACGTATTCAAAACCATAGCTATGTTTGATGGTGATTGAGGTTTTCCACTACAATGTATGTCAAACTAGAAACAGCACGAATCTGTTCATCGGCAAATAACGGGATATAGATTGCACCGCAATGGTCCGAAAAGTTGGCATCATTCGTGGATGCAGCGCAGCACGTAAGAGCTACGTTAACAGACAAAAACATCGGATTATGAAGCTGGAAATCAGACAGGTTCAAACCAAGCCTCTGTTAAGTGAATAATGCAGTAAAGCGAATGTAACGAGAATGTCCACCACGCTGTTCAGGAGTTCGCAGTTTGCATCAACCGCTCACCGAAAACGAACGTTCAGTGTCCGTCTGAGCGTGCTCACATTTTTCGCTTTGCAGCCAGGCTACGGTGAGGCCATTGCCACGATCACATTTTTGAAGTGCTGAAGTATCGGAATAAGCCCCTGGATGTCCTACACGGCGCTCATGGCAATTTAGCATGTTGATCAATTTTCATGATGTAGGAAAATCTGGAACTGACTGGGGTTGGTTTAGGATTCCGTTCTTACCGAGGTTTCTGCACGTTTTACAGCGCTCATCGCTCCTGGAATTTAAGCGTGCGGTGCAATGAAACTGTGTTGCCCGGTCCTTCACGAACTGAGGGCTCATGTGGGAAAACTGGACATTTTTCTCAGAAGGTGGAACGGGGATGTCGCACGGAAATAAAAAGCTCAAAAATTGACCGACCCTGTCCCCCAATATTTCACGGTTTCGCTGCCGCCGCCAAAATGCATCGCACAGTCTACGGGCCACGTGCCGCATGGTTAAGTGCAAAATATTTTGACATGCAAGTACTTCGAGCTATACAGAAGTTTGTCGGAGTGCGCTCCCGAGCCGGCTTAAACTGGCGCCGCTGACGCAATTCAAATCAACCATCAACGATTGCTTTGCCCGCCGCCAACGACGACGACCATTTTACACACATCACACACAGATCACATCACCGGCTGGTGTAATGCTTGTGACACATCGGTCACATCACACATCACATCACTGGCTGGCGTAATGCGTGTGACACACCGGTCACATCACACATCACATCACTGGCTGGCATAATGCGTGTGACACACCGGTCACATCACACATCACATCACTGGCTGGCGTAATGCGTGTGACACACCGGTCACATCACACATCACATCACCGGCTGGCGTAATGCGTGTGACACACCGCTCACATCACACATCACATCACTGGCTGTGTCACTCACCGTCCCTTGCGGGTCACGATCATCTCATTGGTCCGAGCGCAGAACGCCTTCCATAGGGCTGCCTTCTCCAGAGTAACGACCACGTTGTCAGGCAGCCGGTTGGCCAGAGGCACCTCCGTCTGAAAGCGGTTAGGCACGGGTGTTACGGGACGGGAAGTCCCGGTACCGCAGAGGGCGAGCAGTTTCAGGTCTGGAGGGGGGGAACTGTGACCATCGTACCGAAACGGTGATAGAAGCAGGGATTTTAACCCAGATGCTTGGTGTTTGGTTAACAGGCTCAATCTCTGGTCATGTCTCCTAAGTTGCGATGTTGGCTTAGCTTCGGGAGGGAAGCATAGGATACATATAAATCGCAGGGGACGAGCAATTACCAACCACTTGCGGTAATCATTCTAGTGCTAAATGCCGCGGTTCCAAAGAGTTCTGGGCCAAAAAAGAAACACACGGGTTAGAGAGAATCATTCTGACCCGGTCAGGTCTTCGTGAGTGCAGCACTCAGCGCGTACGAACAACCCGGCTCAACAGGGGTATTGTTTCCTTTTCTGTTGGTGTGGGGGTGGCTTCAGCCTACCAACTTGTGCCCCCCGTTCTCCTCCAGTTTTAAGATGAAAGACGGCCAAATCCGTGGAAAAAAGCACTTGCTGGGTTATTCTTTGGCATGTTTGATAATTTTGCGCATTCCAACTCACAAGGCAAAGCAACGCTTCTGTGACGTAGCATTATCTCTTATATTCCAGTGAGTAATAATTCCAGCTTTTATCTTGATTCTCATGCCAAAAATCGAGGCTCTACAAACAACTAAATATGCACCAAGTTATCCAAAATCTTCCAAGCAAATCTGGATAGGGGAAAAGAGGCTGCGTGCTTCCTCGTGACAATTTTGCTGGCCAAACTCTGCACAGATTTGGAAAACACCGCGAACAGGCGTCACGGTTTCTCGCGTAGTGCATCGGGATTTCATGAGAAATCCTCCTGGATGTGAAGCACGGTTGCTTGGTATTTCCACGAGCAAAATGATGTAACATTGTGCAAAGCAAAGGCTAGTTACAGATAAATCGTAGATTCTGCTTTTCTGCCGTGTGGATGTGCACACAAAATTGGTCAGGCGCGTGGGCGCATAGCACCCGGGGAGGGAGGGGGGGAGGGGGAGGGCACACTCCCTTACCAAATTTACGGAGTGGATTAATGCAACGTGACTTGATGTTGTCGGTTCAATATATCAGGTGGACACGAACAAATAATAAGATCGAGAGCACACCCCGCTGTTTTACGATAAGCAAGAAACTTAACGAGCCTGTATGGTGATTAACTCGGTCGTCAGCAAAAATTTTGCATTGCGACAAGATGTCTGTAAAAAGACCAGTAAATCCGTCTCTGATTGGCGTAGGTGGAAAGCACTTTGAGCTCACAAAGCCAGTGACGACACCAGCAGTAACAGAATAATTGACCTGAAAACCACCGGACTCTTTCAATACGACGCTTTTGTATATATATATATATATATATATATATATATTGTATGTTAATCGGTTCTTCGTGATACGTTTAAGGCCATTGGGTTGAAGGGCCCATCCTTGGTCGAGATATCGTTGCAATTGCGCAAGCGCAGAGGAAGGCCTCTTGCGGCCTGCAGTCCTCGGGGTGCTGCTTCTGTCCTGTTTCCCTCCCTTCCCCTGGTGCCCTCCATCACTGTAACTCGGCCTGTCCCCAACAGATGGCACCACACGCCGAACGACACAGATGCTTCTAACTCGGCATTCATGCTGCAATGCAGTGCTCTCCCGGGACTGCGGTGTCTGTACCCGCCCGGGCACGCGGCAGAGCAGCCCATGCAACGTGTTTGAGTGAAAGAGCACTGGGTCAACGTCTCCACAGGAAAGCGGCCCGGCAAGCACCTGCCGTTCTTTGCACATGCTTGAAACCGTATGACCATGGGTCGTCTGCCCGCGGGTCTGACGCTATTATCAAGCTGGCCGTATCATAGCATAGACTGCTGTCAGAGACGCCGACATTTATTGCCAACGTCAGCAAATAATTTTTCACGGGGCTGTGGATGGTCATAGCAGAGTCATTGCGAGGTTCATTGTTGCAATTGTAATAGGGACGTAGGGTAATTGACGCCAAAAACAGCGAATCAGCCCCACACATCCTGCACCACGCGCTGGATACCCCGAGTCGGCTCCTGCTAGCCGCGGGCAGAAGCTTCCAGTTCTCGGCAGCGGCGTGGCCAGGATTTTGCACGGGAGGGGACCAAATCGGAGCCTAGGGAACCGTTTCGGTCAAGGGGCCACTTGGCTGTTCTCTGGGCCCATGTTTAAGGAGGTGGATTTTCAGACCCGAGATCCCATTCTGCTCACTCGAAGGTGGTTTTAAATGCTCTAGCATTCCGGTGTTGATGATTTGGACTTTGAGATGCTCCAGTAGTCCAACGGGCGTCTTAAACTACCAAAAAGTATTGGAGCCTACGCTACCAGGAACCCTGTCCCAACCTACAAAAGGCATGACCCCCAAAGCTCGTCCCTCGGCCACGCTACTGGCTCATGATGCAGCCAAACCCATACCAAACCAGAACAGCGGTCGGAAATTCGTGTCGCGCAAAACTATGCTTTGCGACAGAGTGCTCTCAGATCATCGTCCACACCTCTGACGCAAAAAGAGAAACGACACATTGAAGTGAAACAGCCGCAGCCGCGTCACTTCAGGGAGCAATCACGTCGCTTCGAAAAGCATTCCCCATCGTTCCGCGTCATTGGTGTCGTGCGGCAAGAGCGGTGAGGATGACCTGGCGTTGCGGACCGTCCTTCACTAGTCAGAGATGGTCTTAATTGTACCACTGGACCGAGGGACCTGGAGCCGCCCCTGCCTAACCAGCCCCGAGGGCTGATGGCTGGACCGAGAGGGATGAACTCGGCACTTTATCGGCCATGTCATGACCGGGATAGACGGTTTTCCTGTTACCGCCAGTTCCTGACCTTGTGCCAATGAACGGTGCCCCTGTTACTCACCGGCGAGCGCTATGAATGCAATTATCGCTCAAGCATAAACAAGCGAAATCAAGCGGGCTATCAAATCAAACGAATCACTACCGAACAAATGCCACCAGATTCTGTGAATGATGTATCGTGGTCGATGCCACGGTCGTCAAGTCTGGCGCTTCAGGCGGTCCAGCGGCAGCTCACTCACCCTTCTCAGGAACGGGGCCAGCACGGGCTCCAGGTAGAGGTTCTCATCGGCGAACGCCTGCCGACGGCGCGGCGGGGCTGCCTCCTCGACCATCGCGGAGTCTAACGGTCGAGGTGAGCCCGGCGCCCTGACCTCGACCCGCCGGCGAGTCACGAGTTCACGGCCCAGCCCCCGACAGACTCCGGCCCACTCAGTCTTGGCTCGAACGCGCGCTACCAGTCCAGAGCTCGGAAGTCACGCCGCGCCCTGCACGTTCTGCGCACGCACTGACCCAGCCGACACAACTCCGGTCCCCGCCAGCCGTGGGGGCGGAGCCTAGCGCAGGCCGACCAATGGCGCCGCGGCGGTGACACGTGGCTCCGCCCACTAAAGGCAGATTAGCGAAGCGGGCCTCAAAGAGGGCGCCATCGCGCACAGCGGAAAGGCTGATGCTTGCAATGACTGGCAGCAAACACACCTGCCGACCAACTGGCCACGAGTCAGCAGCCAAACTGCCCAATGGCAATCGCTAATGCTATTGCATACCGCCGCCGACATTCGGCAAGTGTGCGCTGTTTAAAGTGACCAATCACATTCTTGACTTCGTGGATGAGGATGAGATAGCGGGGTTTAATCCCCTGGATTTGTGCAAGTGGTGTGATGTCATCGCCCACTTAAAAGTCATTGAGCAGCGCCTCTGCACGGCATTCACTCAGCTCGGCTCGCAAGATGTTTGCAAATGCACTCTGATAGGTTTGCCTTTTTAACGCTCCTCGGCTTGGTCCAACGACCTCTACCACCGAGGGATATTTTCACAATTTTCGGGGCTGAGCTATTGTTCCCCACTGCAGTTAATCAGGGCACGGGCCTCGAGCCGCTGATGGGCACCATCTTTGCCAGTGGTGCAAGCCTGTCTGTCCGCTGATGGCTGCATCTTGCTCTGGCAATATGCATATCACACCCAGGGTTCTAGCAACGCGCGTTCGGGTTTGACGCAAGGAATGTACGCACTTTTCAGGCGTTTTAAATTGGAGCTCTCATGCTGAAAATGCTCGACCCCCAGCGTACCAGGAGTCACTGGTTAAACGGTATTAGTTATCAAGTTAACTAAAAACAAACAGACGAAGGCGAACGCGGACCTTACCAAGCTGCTTGTGCTCGAGCACGTAAAATGATGCCAATTGTACTCGCGCACCACTCCATGTTGCGGCCAGCGGACTGTCCAGCTGCTGGGCGGCTGAGACACGGCTGGGCTGGCACGGCAGTGGACTTCCTACCGCGGCGGCAACTTCTTGTACCTGGCGGTGTTCTCTGCCGGTGGCTGCGTGACGACCGGGGTGCCAAACGGCATCCATCTCTCCTGCCAAGATCGTCCGCTTGGTTGCGGTGCCGCGGCTTCTCCATACTGGCTACTTGCTTTCTGGTGACTGGTTTACTAGTTTACTGGTTACGGGATTACTTGTTTACTGGTTACTGATTTACTTGCTTGCTGGTTTACTAGGTAACTGGTTTACCGGTTACCGGTAATTATTTACTCTTTCTACCGCTCGTAACTACAAACGAGCTGACTTACGAGGCCTGCGAATGTCTCTCGAGCCAGCCGAGATCCTCTGCACGGCTGTGGTGCTTGCTTTGACCACAGGCGAGCCAACTTCTGCGGCCCTCGGGGTCGCCAGCGCCATGCGGCTGGCGTTTTATTGACAACTTGCCGGTAGATGGCATTGCAGACTTGGTTTACTCTTCAATGGAGACAGCGGTATGCAATCATTATGCTTCACCGTAGCTCGTGACCACATATCCTGATCATGTTCCCACCGTAGCTCGTAGCCACATATGCTTGTTGTGTTCTCACATGGTTACTTGTATGTGGCAAGCAACCAAACATCCTGATCATGCATAATATGAAACACTGCAGGTAATTGGCATATATCCTGATCGTGTTCCCGCTGTGGCTGTTAACCACATATTCTGACGATGTATCCACTGCGACTGGTAATCACACATCCTGGTCATGTCCCCACCGTGGCTAGTGAACACACATCCTGATCATGTTCGTTCTGTGGCTAGTAATCACATATCCTGATCATGCTTTGACAGCGAGGTACACAGGTCATTGGGTGACAATGAAGCTGCATACAGCCGTACGAAAACAAGCATAAAAATACTGAGAATGAAGTTCATGACAAATGGACAGTGTCCAGACTGCAATGTCACAAACACTTTGTTATAAGTACGGTATGCTATGTGACTTTATATGCAACCCTAAGCGGTTTTGTTGTTCGTAAAATACATCAGGTATCTGAATTCCTTCTCTACAGGATGACAACCGTGAAGCGCTGAGGGACCTAGAACAGCAAACTTATTCAATCGCACCTCCGCAACAAAACTCACCTGCCCCGGGACGAACCGAGGCTGAGACAATCCGTCTACCTGTCTGCATCGCAGCGTTTGACGTGCCCGATCAGCATGGTTTTATCGCAACATGAAACACAATTAGGCTGTTCTTAGTCGGCTTAAATGTCCACAAAGCTTGTACCACGGGCAATATAAGGCCTTGCATTATCTGTGAGTTTGCCGATCGGGTGACGACATCGCTCACAACGATATGAAAGTTTCCATTATTAAATGGACTTTTCAGGGGAGGTGCAATGAGGCTAATCTTGTTCCCGTCTTTGTAACAGGTGGCAGTAAAAAGCCAAGTGATTATTGAGCTATACCACTCTTGCCTTTATTTGGCAGGATCATCGTGAGCCGTGTAGTACGACGGCTTGCTTCGCCTTGGGGGCTGATTCTCGGGCAAGCAAGTCGGGTTTTACCCCGTCGCTCGTGTGACACTGATTCAGCGTGCATGTTGGACACACAGTCCATGATATTTAGGCTGACGTGCTGTACTGTACAGAGGCTAGACAGCCGCGTGAGCTATAGACTACCAATACACAAACGGAGGTAATTAAACGGCAAAAATGTCGCGCTGTGCTCTCTTCCCCTCCCCCACCCGCAATTGCAAAATGCCGCATACGGTCCCTGCAGTCCAGGTTCATGAGACCCTGTATCCAGTCAAGTGTCCTGTTAGATTGGGTTGCATTGGTTTTCTTTGCTAGACTAGACGTTCTGCTACTCCGGGCAGCGGCTTGTTTGTGGACAGCAGTCGGCCTTCATACAAGTGCTGAACATTTACATAACCGTAACGAATTTGGCATCTTAATCGAACATGCTTTTTTGACTCAGCTGTTCTGTCTGATGACTTGCTTTCTTACTCCGGAATAAACTAATCTTTTCAAAACGGCAGACTTTGGATTAGCAGAACTAAGGCAGCGCTCTTAACCCTGTTTTTATGCAATGGTAATGCCACTCCGGCCTGTCCCATGCTTCCTAACCTCATCGCCAAGCCATTACACTTAGCATAACAATGACGGCATTAAAAGGATGAAGTTGGGTGAATTTCCCGCGCAAAAGTTATGACATATCTTGACAAAATTTGGACGCCATGCATTGTGCTGAGGGCAGCCAAGGTTCCATCTGCGGTATTCATGCCAGAAAGGCAAGGCCTTTTCAGAGTCATGCATTTATGTATATCTGACCAAAGGATGCTGACGTTCAACTGAAATAAGCATTTACTTTATCTGGTTGTAACAGGTGATCATTGGTTAAAGGCCGTCCTTCTAAAATACCCCCGCTGTTCGTCTCGTTTGCTGCCGATTTGACGGCGCTAATTCTGTACGGCACAGATTTTGTGCCGCCATAATGCTGCTTCATTCACGAATATTTATCAGGGTGTAGTAACACCAGAACATGTGTTATACTGCAAAAGGACTTTGAGGACTCGCTGAACACATGTAAGACTACACAGGTACGGCACAATCGCATGACACGCTGACGCTGACGCTAACACTGATAAGCCCCACTGGCTTGCTCACATAAAATGGCTAAGACAGTGATAAGTGCATGCGTAATGAAACGCAGCACCACATTTCTTAAAGTTTTAGGCCCTTTTCGTGGCCCATATGGAGCAAGCCTCTACCCAAGTTGTAGCCTTGACAAGCCATCGTGGCTTGCTGTTCCCACTGCCCAAATGGATTATTAAGGGAATTGTATGCAGCAGTTTGATCACGCGCATTCACACCTTAATAGGGCTGGTATTTTGGCAAGAGCGTGCTAAAGTAATGTATTGCACTCGTACACTCCACAGCATAGTCAGTGCTAGTATTCTCTATGGCTTATCCACATCATTTCAGTTTTTCACCTTCAAACGATAACAAAAAGAGAGCGGCAGGGACCGGTGTTCCACATTTCAATGAAACTACTTGAACATAAAGGACGCGACGAAACAATGTTCTCCCTCAGCAGCACACATTTGGTACTTACACCCTTCATTACAACAAAACAAATCCAAATCTGTCGGTACACAGCACCGCAATGATCACACCTGTTTTAAGCACCTAATTTATCCAAGCAGGTCACAGCATGTTCGGATGCACAAAATCAAGCAAGCATGTTTCGGATGCACAAAATCCTCACCTTTCTATTTCTAAAAAAGACGTCAGCAGGAGAAAAAATACTGGTTTGTCTGGTGGCTCCTTTACATCATTACAAATAGCATACAGTTCCTTTTTTATTTGTCTGCCGTTTCATTTGCAAACAGTCACGGCTTTTTGTCGTTTAACTGGAAGCCTCAGCTCTTCAGAAAGCTGGGCTGCCATAGGCCGATGTGGGGGTAATGCAAGGAGGGCGATGACATGATAACGTGCTTTTATTTCGTTGCTGAAATCAGTGCATGCACGCTCGTTAGTATAAAAGATCAGAAAATCAACGACGACGGTCAACTTTGGCAAACCGACGCGACAAAAACAGCGACGGTCAACTTTAGCAATCCGACGTCTTCTCACTTATGATGCGGCGACATTTTATTTCGATCTTGCGATACGACACTGACTTATTTCTGTATAAAAATTCAACCCCGAGGTCGGATGATGCGCATTGACCCTGGTTTGGGTTTGACCCCAGGGCATCAAACAAGCCGCAAACCTCATTGGTGTGAGTGTCACTGTCGATGTCAAACCGGATGACACGGTCTGGTCTGACGTCATCGGTTCTGACGTTATCGGAATCACTTCACAAGTCCTGGTCCTAGTCCGAGCCTCAGGACTCTAGGCC